AGACTCAAAATTATCATGGTTGGTGCCATTAACAGACTCCTTCCACATCCTACGAAAGTAGGAGAGGGCCTGCTCTGGCTTAGTCTCATATGTAGTATCAGTCTTCAGGCCACGCTTAGCTTGAAATGACCTCATCGCATAAAGTTACAGTCTTGACCTGGGTCGTGCCGCTTTGAGTCTCGATGCCAGGAAAGAGCAGCTGTAGCACATTATGTTCAACGGCTTAAACAACCACTGTCGACCAGTGCAGAGGGCACAAACAGATAATAAAAATGACGCTAACGATGCACGGAGTTACACGAGCCATTCAGTCCCAGTTCCGCCGGCAGTGGAACCCCTGCCTGGACTCCGGAAGGGATATCTTGCCGGCGGCGGAACCCCCTACCTGGACTCCGGAAGGAATACTCTGAGACTGAAAGGTGCATGTAGAAGGCTTTCTTTTGGGCAGCCAACCAGCTCCCAAATCATGACACGGAGACTTCTCCGTTATGAATGCTCGGCCGTATCTTGTCTCGCTAGCTCTTAGAACGTAACCTGTTTCTCTTCATCTGCATTTTGCCTTGTGTTTTCTACCTTTCTTTCCCTCTGTGTATCTTATGCCTGGCATCTCCCTCTCTTTCTCCCTCCTTCTCTACTCCCTTCCTTCCACAGAGTCTAACTTTCTCCTCCTACTTATTCTCTCTGCCCGCCAGCCTCTTCTACTATTAGACCAATCAGGTGCCTCAGGCAGACAAGAGGAAACAAATGCAAGACATTTTTACATAATTAAAACAAATGCAGAACAAACCAATGTAACACGCCTTCACATAGTTAAAGTAACACGTCGCAGCATAAACAGATGTAACGGATCTTTGCCTAGTTAAAGTGATACTCCACGACAGTGGCAGGCACATTAACCAATCACCCAGTCACCTGTCCCAAGTCCTCAGCCAAGAAAAACTGCTCCAGTCAAGGACTGTTGCCAGTGTCCCCAGGCTCCAGTTCAAGCACAGTTTCTGCCATCCTTAACCCTCGACCTATTTCAAACTGACCCATGAAATGGCCTAGGACCTGCCCCTGACATCTCTGCACCTGCCCAGTGCTGGGTCTACAGCTCCTAAGGCCTTTTCTGAGGCTTTGATAAAACACTGACCAAAACCAGCTCGGAGAAGCAAGTGTTTGGCTCGCAAGCACAGCCAGCCAATCATCAAGCAAAAGCCCAGGCAGGATCCTGGAGACAGGAACTGAAGCAGAAACCACGGAGAAACACTGCTTCCTGGCTCGCTCCTCTAATAAAACCAGTTTGCCTTGTTTATACAACTCAGGACCACCTGCCCAGGCCAGGCACTACCTGCAATGGGCTGGCCTTCCCACAATTAGTATTCAAAAGAATACCCCACAGACAAGTCCACAGGCCCACCTGATGGAGGCAATTTCTCACTGAGGCTCCCTCCTTCCAAGTGTGGTGTCTCTCTGCAGGAATCTCACTTCTCACTTGGTGCCAAGCCTCGGCTTCTCTCCATGACTTTCTCTATCCCGGGGTTTCCGCTGCACCTGAAGCTGCACCTCCGTCTCACAGTGCCAAGCCTCAGCTCCTCTCCGTGACCCCATCATGCCTTCAAACCCAGAACCACCTGGGAGGCTCTTATATGTTAGCAAGTTTGACAGCCAGCACAAGACACAGCCTTGGCCCCTTCAGGACCACAGCTTCTGACCGTGAAAAGAATTCTTCACCGTGAGGTGAATCCCAGATTTCACCTCAGTGATGCTGGTCTCTTACAGTCACAGCTGGGTTTTCAGCCCTAGCAGACCAGCGTCCATTGTCCCAGGATGGCAAAGGTTTTGCTTCTACAGATTCTTTATTCAAAACACAAATGACAAGTGTCTTCAAAGAACTCTCAAGTTTCTCTAAAACTTCACAAGCCAGACTTCCATCGTCTGCTTTTTTTCTGAATATTCTTACCTTCCAAGTTCCTGCAGCAGCTCATTAGGCTCTGGGCACTTCCAGCCCCAAATTCCAAAAGCTTCTACAATACACCTCCGTCCCTCAAACCAACATGGTCAGGTCCATCACAACGACTATCCACATCCTGGTACCAATATCTGTCCAGTCTGGTCAACTACAGACTCTTCCTTGCTCCTTAAATTTGACCCTGACTTTGGGAGTTTCTGAACCCTGGAGCCTCGTTAACCGTTCCTTAGGTGTGTGTGTGTGTGTGTTCCCACCCATCTACAGGTCAATCTGATGTGTATATTTAATAGAAAGTTAAGAGAATAGAAAGACACACAGACATACAGATTGTCTTTTGTTTGTTGATTGGTTTCCAAGACAGGATTTCTCTGTGTCGCCTTGGCTGTCGAGAACTCACTCTGTAGACCAGGCTGGCTTCAAACTCAGAGATCCATCTGTCTCTGCCTCCTGAGTGCTGGATTAAAGGCATGCACCACCATTGCCTGACCAGACATACAGATTGTTATCTCAGTACTCAAGAGGATGAAGCAAGAGGACTGCAAGTTTGAGGTCATTGTTATGGATTAATCTTTCTGTACACTGTGACTGTTTGCTGCTCTCATTGATCTAATACAGGGCCAAATGGCCAATAGCTGAGCAGGCAGAGGTCAGGTGGGACTTGTGGATAAAAAGAGCACGGGGAAGAAGGGGAGTAGAGTCGCCAGCTGCCAGACAAAGAAGCAGAACACGTTGAGCTGAAAAAGGTTTAACCACGTGGTAGAGCATAGGTAAGAAATACAGGTTAATCTAAGCTGTAAGAGCGAGTTAATAACAAGCCTAAGCTATTGGCTGGGCATTTATAATACTAGTAAGTCTCCATGTGGTTATTTGGGAGCATGCAGTCCTAAAGAAAAACTTCCCCTACAGGTCATAATCTGAGTTACATGGCCAGTGCCAAGCCAACCTGAATCATATAACACTGTTTAAAAAAAATTTTTTAAACAAGTAAAATGGATAACCTAGAGAATGGCAGGAAAATATTTACCAATCTTTTATCTGGCAAGATAATCTCCTGGTCAGATTTTTTGTTGTTGAGATAGGGCCTCACTGTGCAGCCTCAGCTGTTCTGGAACTCTAATATCTATAGTCCCAACTCACCTCAAACTTATGATCCAAAGAAATATAGATATGGTCAGTAAGTTCATCATTCGCTCAATGCCCAGCACCATGGATATAATCAAAACCATCAACCATGCTGGATGCTAACAAGGATGTGGGCAACTGGAGCCCTGATGCAAATATGAAGCGGTGCCATCTGAGGAAGTTCTGGCAGTCAATCAAAACATTCAAGCCACTACATGACCCAGCACTATCACTCCTCGATATCTACCTAGAAAACAGGAAACTCCAGTATCCGCCCATCAGTAGCCATAGCAACAGCATCCTGAATGAGCAAATGGAAACTCTGGGCCAGCCCATCACTGTAATCCCAGCACTTGGAAGGTGAAGGCTTGGGGATCACTAGTTTGCATCCTGGGCTGCATAGCAAGTTCAATGCCAGCTTGAGCAATGGGAGCCCTATCTGAAAACAAATTAAAATAAAATAAACAAGGGAGAAAAAAAGAGAAAGGACACTGATGGGCAAGTCAAATGTGGTATACCTATACACTGGCGTACTATTCAACTGTCACAAGGGGAGTCAAATGTGGTATACTTATACACTGGAGTACTGTTCAAGTGTCACAAGGGGAGTCAAATGTGGTATACCTATACACTGCAGTACTGTTCACCTGTCACAAGGGGAGTCAAATGTGGTATACCTATACACTGGCGTACTGTTCAACTGTCACAAGGGTAGTACTGAAGACATGCGACAAAAAGACCCTTTAAAAGAAGCCAATCACAAAAGGCCATGCATTTTATTATTCTATTTATATTAAATGCCCAGAATATGTAAACAAATACACAGAATTTAGTGTTCTCCATGGTGCTGGATCTTCTTTAGGGGTGACAATTGTTCTGGTCTGTTGTACAGGTGATTGCAGAAGCTTGTGTGCACTAAAACACTGTGCACTTCAACTAAATCGTTTCGAATTATGTCAGCAAAGCTGTTTTAAAAATCAACTGGTAAGCGGGCGTATCAAATATACCTGCAATCTTAGCACTTGGAAGGCTGAGGCCAGACGAAAATGAGTTTGAGACCAACCTGCACTACAGGTAAGAGTTCTAGACTAGCTAGGTATGGAGGCGAATGCCTTTAATTCCAGCCAGGAGACAGAGGCAGGTAGATCTCTGAGCAAGGTCAGCCTGGCTCAGTGTTTAGGACAGCCAGAGCTACAGAGAGAGACTATCCCAAACAAACAAACAAAAAGAGTTCTAGGCCAACTTTGGCAATAGAGTACTAAAAAAATTGGGGGGAGGGGCTGCAGGAATCATTAGTTCATGTCTGTAATCTCACCACTACTTGGGAGGCTGAGGCAGGAGGATCACAGAGAGTTCGAGGGCACCCTAGGCTACACAGAAATAAACCTGTCTCGATGAAAAAACAACCAACAGGAAGGCACCGTTTCCTGCTACGCATCCATAAGAACTCCATCTTGAATTTACTCTCCTGGATGGCCCTTTCTTCTCTTGCTCTCCCTTGCAGGGGGTGGCGCTGAACCACTCTCTCAAACACTACAATGTGTGTTCTTCATAAACCACAGAGCAAAAGCAGAGGACGCCAGAACAGTGAACGTGAAGTGTGGCGTATGACCGCTCATGTCACTGCCATGACGCCAATCAAAACATCTCATTCTGAACTTCAGGTTCTGCAGTTACAACTTGCTGAGCATTTCAATGACTTGATGCTTAAAATCGACCTGTGAAGAGGAAGCAGAACATCCCAGATGGCTTTAAATATCTTGCAAGAATCCCAAGACTGAACAAGAGCAGGGTCTAACTTCATTTATGTCACACGGTCTCACAACAGCTTTAGGTAACAGTCAAAACACACACTGCAGATACAATGCAGATCTCATTGTCAATCTTCTCCTTTTTACCTGTCCCGAAAGAAAAGCAAAACCAGTGATATTTTTCAGTAAAATTCATTTATTATTCCAGTACACAAAAACATTTCCTGGTTTGTTTCCAATTTGTTTCAAAACAAAGTAGCATGAACTTGCAGACGCTGGCAGCTGAGGTCAGGAACAATACAATGTGTAATAGAAAGAATGAGCTCGGACTGGCGGTATCTGAAAGAATGCAGAACAAGCTTTTCCACCTGACACACTCTTGTGCTACTGCGGACGGAAGCTGTGCTCATCCGGACACCTGTGTGGTGACTTCCGCATGGAAATCTGTGAACAGGCAGGCTGGACTTGTCCTTCGTCAGACACTGCTGTTTCACAATGTCCACTTTGTGCTTTGACCCACATCACAGGTCAATCAAAATACAAGTCAGGCAAGGAAACAGGCTTTAAACCTTAGATGCATGCAGGACAGCAGGCGGTAGTTCGGTCTGAGGTAATTCTGTCTGTGTGTTCGAGCACCACGACATGCTTCCCTGCAGGGCTGTTACAAGGCTCATTAGACCATTAATGCAAAATCTAAAACTAAGTTAAATAATATTTAGTCTTCTTAGAATATTAAATAATCATTCTATTTAAGGAAGAAAAAAACAAGATTAACAAACTTAAGAAGCAGAATTCACTTTTATTTTGCATTCTTTGCAATTAAAAATGAGTTCATTAAAAACCACTTAAATGTATGCATTTAACTTGAATAGTTAAATTAAAATTCCAGCAGAGTGTAACTAACTTAAAGACCTGTCTTCCCAAACATGGCAGCGGGGAAACTGTTCCACCATCTACCATGTGAGGTGGCACAGGAGCTAAGAAATGGGGCTGCCCCTGGCTGATGAGAAGCAGGACTAGATCCATGCACTGTTTTTCTGGGGCTGAAAGGAGATTAGCTGGGAATTCCTATGCAGTCAGAGGGGACCATCGAACTGAAATATCCCATACTTGCCCGTAGTCAGCCAGTGGGGATCAGAAGCCATGAGCTGCTCGGCCTGCCCGGGCTGGAGACCCACCTGCAGCTCAGCCTTTAATGTTCTTATGCTACACAGAGGTGCAGGGTGGAAGCCACTCAGGGCCTGATGGAATGGGGTGGTAAACTCCCACTTTCTGTCACTCATCAACTTCCTGTAATTCAAATCCCCCTTGAATAAGACAAGGCATGCCTTTTGTAGTTCAGTATACAAATCAGGGGCGACCTGGGGCATCGCACAATAAGGGTGAGGCAGAGTCCAAAATATATGATCGTGGTAAGTCCATCTGCCCATCCTAACATGGTCTGCCCAGTCAGCACCACAGGCGGACGTGGACTTCTGGTTACTACTCCTCACATGTTCAACCGTCCAACTAAAGTCATGCACAGTAACGTCAGACACAAACCACGGAATAGTTTTTCCGTGAAAATGAATCTCAGTAGCTAACTCAGAGGATAACAAGAAGTCAGCGAATACTAGATCTGTAACAAGTTCAAAGCCAGAATTATCCAGAACAATGTCTACTCTAACTACGGATGTTTCTGCTGTCTTCTTGCATTTACTGAGCAATGTCCAAAGAGATTCTGTGTCATCTATCAGAATGAAGGGTTTCAGGCCTTCCAAAGAGTTGATGACATTGGTCTTCTGGGAACTGCTTTCTCCACCTGACAGAGACAAGTCACACTTATTTCCCCAGAGGGAGATCTGAAATGGAAAGGGAAAAGAAGGCCATTACTCTTTTACATAACCCAGAAAAACTCCACTGGACAGGAAGGCACCCAAAACATTCACAGTATCTTTACAAAATTCCTAAAATGTCCACCAAACCTACATTTTCTCCAATGGCACAGAATGTATTTACGTGATGCTGTACTAAGGTAAAACAATGATATTTTAGTGAATATATAAAAATTTTAAGCTAAATAGTATGTATGTTCCTTACTTAGATACAGAGATATTAAAATGCCATCAGATGCTGTGGGAGAGAGGGTCGGGATTTATTCTACAACCAGAAATCAAGAGGAAAAGCAAAGTCCCTTTCTTCTCCACATCTCCAAATCGCACTGCTTCTTTGTAACTCTGCACAGATCCTACAACCACAGGAGGGCATGTCCGAGAATGACTGGGTGACCTTCGGAGAGGAGGGCATGTCTTAAACGAGCTCCTTTATTTGTTTGCTAACGGAAACTGGATGGAGAGATGTCTCAAGACCTGACCCTTACGACAAGGTGAAGTTAACCATAGACCCTATGCAGTCATTTGCTTATTATTTAGCTGTATACTTAAGTAATACTCGATGCTATTTTTAAGAAAATGATATGTAATTCTATGTTTTTTTAAGCTAAAAAAAATCCCATGTCCAGGACTGAAGGCTCGGAGTCAGACCTGTGTTCAAACTCCAACACCTTCGATTACAGATCACCAGCAATTAATGTCCCTAAGGTTCAGGTTCTGCAATGGAATGAGCACAGAGTTCTCTGCCCACCTGAGGACTGGTGTAATGTACACCAGAGTCTTGACTATAGAAGCATTCAGTGGGGTGAGCTCAGGGTTACAGCACTTGCCTGGCATATTTAAGGGCCTGAGTTCAACCCCAGCACAGCCACAAAAATGGCCATGGGCCACGGGGTCTCTGTAATAATCACCAGCTCTAGGGGTTAGAGTTACCCTGCAAAGTTACCACAGCCAACATAAAAATGTTAACTGTGCTCCAACAAAACGCATACAGTGGCTATGTGACAAAGTCTCCAGCTGAGATGAGGCCTTCAGGCCCTGCACATGCCTTTCATCCCAGCTCAGGTCACCAAGTCCTAGGCCGGGAATGGTAACTCCCACTTGTAATTCCAGCACTCAAGAGGATGAGGCAGGAGGATGGCTGTTGGGTTTCAGGCTCCTCTGCACTACATGAATTACCATTCTGGGCTACAGAGTGACACTCTGTCTCAAAACAAAAAACAGAAAATTATGGCTGCTTATGTCTAGGAAAGCACTTGGCATAAAAGGTCCAAAATTATTTGTGTGAACAGTCACATAGCTATATGCTTTGAAGACAGATCGTTGCTCCCTGTAGACTAAAACAACTTCAGACTGCTCTTGGGACAGAAATCGCTTGCTCATGGTGGCAATACAAGAAGACAATGCTGGCCTTGTCTAGGGGGAACAGGAGCCATGTGGACAGCATCTGAGTCAGAGCCAGCAGACAGCACCTCCTGTCCCTTTAGGGTCTGGTCTACTTATGGGACAAAGGATGCAGCAAAAAGAACTATCTCCTGACAGAGTGAGCTGCACACAGGAATGTGCTGATGTGCGGTGTTCTCTTTCTTTTTAAATCTCAGGCTAACATAAAGGACAGTTCAGAGACAAAACACCAAATAAAAGAAAGAAAAGTAGCCAAAAACATAATCATAATACAGGTGTCACTGATGTATAAATATCTGCGTAAACTAATAGACATTTGTATAAACTAATGCCCACAGCACTGTTTGCAGACTGAATATAAAAACCATCCACATACCTGCAGAAGTCTAAGAAACTCCTCCTTCCGCCGGTCTTCACTGAGGTCTCTGGCTGGTCTCAGTTGCTGCAAGTGCAGACACAGGGCATCGACAGACTCCTGTGACTCAAAGAAGTTCTCCTCTTTGCTTTCTTTAAACACATCGAAGTCATGGATGGGAGGGCTGAGGTGGGAGAACACATGAGTGAAGCATTTACATGAGTCCTTCCTTTTGAAAGAACAACAACAAACCTTCACTTGGGTGACGGCAGCTCCCTAACGGGAGGAATACATTACCACCTTGACAACCAGCACTTCAGATAGTAGACACCGCACCAACAAATTCAACCATACAAAAATAAATCTCTGGGCCGGCATGGCTGCTGGTGCACACCTTTAATCCTGGTACAGCAGAGGCAAGGCAGGTTGAGCTAGCCTGGTGTGCAGAGCAAATACAGGCCAACCAGGGTTTCATAGTGAGAGCTTATCTCAAAGAAAATAAAACAATACTCAAACTCCTCAAACTATTTTACTAGAACTAGCTAGCAATTATTGTGACTGTGTCTACAATCATTTACCCAGCAGACACAAACGGGAGCGGGAAACGAGGTTACAGGGTAACTATGTTAGATCCTTTCACACCCTACGTGGAGTAAACACACTCCGGAATGCCACAGTCATCACGCAGACAGCTGGAGCCGAGCACCTGAGGAAAACACAATACTCCTGTACATACCAGCAAACAACAAGCGGTCATTCACGCAGATTTGGAGTGTATCAAATTTCACTCCCCGGTTACTTCTGATCAAAGGTGTGGTTTGTGTTGTGGCTCTGTCGGCTTCATGAGAAGTTATGTGAGAAAACAACTAACAAGATATAAGTACGAAATGACTGCTGTTCAGGAACTGAAAAGACATCCTGATTAGCTGACGTTCACAATTGACATTTTTCACAGGCCATCCACGTTAGGTTAAAAATCACACAGGGCTTTATGTAATGACTTTTTTTATTTGTTGTTTTTTGTTTGTTTGTTTGTTTGGTGGGGGAGGGGTGCTTTTTTCAAAACCAGGTTTCTCTATAAAACAGTTCTGGCTGTACTGGAACTCGCTTTGTAGACCAGGCTGGCCTCAAACTCAGATATCCGCCTTCCTCTACCTCTCGAGTGCTGGGATTAAAGGCACGCACCACCACTGCCTGACTTATTTTATTTTTGAGACAGGTTCCCACTCTGTATTCTAGGCTGGCCTAGAACTCAAGGCAATCCTCCTGCTTCAATTTGCAGAGTGCTGGGATTACAGGCATAAGCCACGGCACCAGGCAAGAGTATGTTTTTAAAATGACGTACCAGGTGAAGGCTGATCCTTCTGACCTCTATTCCAAGGGCGCTGTCACTGCCAGAGCACTCGGCAGCTCCTCTTTGGGAACTCTCTTCCGAACCTGTGGCATATTATTAAACACCCTGTCAGTGACCCTGGATCTCTCAACAGTTTACTTTCAGCAACAGGCAAGTCACTCGGTTGCTGGGCAGTGGGGGCGCACACCTTTAATCCCAGCACTTGGGAGGCAGAGGCAGGTGAATCTCTGTGAGTTTAAAGCCAACCTGGTCTATAGAGTAAGTTACAGGACAGCCAGGGCTACACAGAGAGATCCTGTCTCGAAAAAAAAAAAAATCGTTCAGTAATATCAGTAGAATATATTGATATTCTCAGTTTGTTTGGAACAAACAAGCTGAGTAAAAACATTTGATTAACAAACTTGAGGAGTGACTCAAAAATAACAAAGCTTATTTTCCCTTTTAAGGACTGGAAATGGGCTCTGGAATAAATTTAAAGAATTTAAACATATTTTTTAGCAATGACAGTGTTACTGAAATCAGTCAGTCCCTCAAGGTGATTTAGAAGGCCAGAGGCCATTTGGATACACAAGTTCAAATGTGGGGGACAGCTAACCAGAGTCCACAGACCCCGCTGAGACGTGTCGGGTTTGTCCCACAAACCAAAAACTGTTAACAGTGAGGCACAGAGAAGCAGTAGTAGCCTACGTTCATGAGCCCAGTGCTTAGAAGGCTGAGTCAGGAGGATGCCCTTGAGTCTGGGGACAACCTGGGAGTCATAATGATTTCTAGGCAGCCAGCCTCGACTTAATGGGAGAGAAGGAGAGGGCGGGGTGTGCCATATTTTGTGCCCCATAGAACTGGAAGCTCAGTGTCGGCAACCGAGATTATAACTGTAACACTTGCTGACCTGTGCGCTACGGCTGCTAGCACATCATGGTGGCAAGGTTGTGTCCCTATGACAGAGACACAAAGCTAAAACACTATCTAACCCTCCACAGAAAAGTCTGGCAACCCATGTTCATGTGTTTAAATTAACAGTCATTCATTAAAGTCACAGCTCATGTATGAACATTGCTGAATGTTCATTGTATGATGGATACAATACATTGTATGAACATGTATGAATGAAATGAATTATTGCTTATGCTTCAGAGAGCAAATGTCACATAGATATGTACGGTTTCTCATTTTAGAACACTCATTACTTCAGAATCTAGTGACGCTATATATGGGCACATGCTCTGAGTCAATACATGTACATATAGTCCTAACAGAAACACACGTGTATGTTCATCAGAAACATGTCAGAATATGCAAAAAGATGGGCTCAGTGGTTAAGAGCACTAGTTACTTCTCCAGAGAACCCAGATTCAATTCTGAGCACCCACACAGCAGCTCCTAACTATCTGTGACTCCAGTTCAAGGGGATCTGATGCCTTCTTCTGGCCTCTGTGAGCACTAGCCACCCAACTGGGGCATACGCATACATGCAGACAAAACACACATACACACGAATAAAATAAAATGTATCTTTAAAAAGTATCCATGTTATGGGGGCAGAAGAGATGGTTTAACAGTTAAGAGCCCTGACTGTTCTTCCAGAGGACCTGGGTTCAATTTCCAACTCTCACATGGTGACTTACAACTGTCTGCAACTCCAGTTCCAGGAGATCTGATACCTTAACACCAATGCACATAAAATAAAGTTAAATTATTGTAAATATATAGATATATGCACATATATGTTTATATATAATTAAGGAAGTTATTTTTAATGCATATATACACATATATAAAAATGTTTGTTAGCTTTGTTCTTCATAAAAATCCCATATTGGATAAATCCCACCAATGCAACAGTCAGTGGAGGAAGCCTGTCATAAATATATATATTGCTTAATTTAAAGGAAACTTAGGAGCCAAGTGTGGTGGTACACACCTGTGACTCCAGCATTTGAGAGACTGAGACAGGAAGACGGTCATTTTGAAGCCAGCCTGGGCTATGTGAGTTCAAAGATAATGAGACCATGTCTCAAGATGGGGGAGAAAATGTGTATATCTTCAATCAATAAATAGCCTGAAAGGAGGTAAAACTAACACAGGTCAGATAGTTGTCTCTGAAAGACGAAACAGAATTTTAGAATGTATCTGTTTGGCAAAATCAACACATTCCTATGCTTGAAAATATAAAAATTAAGAAAGGAAAAAAAATCCTAGACTCAAAGTTATATTATTTCCTAAAATGAATTTATTTTATAATTAGTATTGACTTGATTCATTCATTTCTTCCTTCCTTTTTTTTTCTTTTCTTTCCTTCAACAGGGTTTCCAAGTCAAGGATAAACTGGAACATACTATATAACCCAGGCTGTACTCAAACATACATTCTTCTTGCCTCAGTTTCCCAAGAGCTACAATTACAGGCGTGAGCTGTAATCTACACTTTGATCATCCTGTGCTGTGTTTAGAAACAGGTGCTGAAGGATTCCTCTTAGATCAAACTTGTATTTTTGGAACCTGAAAAATAAAAGGATAATTCCCAAGGCCTTTTCTCCTGCACTGCGAACCAGATGCACGTTGGGATTTTTAAAGAAAAAGTGAACAGAATAAATGATCTACGAAAGGATTTTTTTTGGAATATTTAGACTTTTCTCTAGTCATTAAAAACAAAATACTAGGGCTGGAGAAATACAGTGTTTAAGAGCACTTCTGTTCTTCCAGAGGACCCAGGTTCTGCTCCTAGCACCCATAGCAGGTGACTTACAACCTCTTGGAACTCCAGTTCCAGCGAATCTGACTCTCTCCAGACTGAGCTGGCACCAGTGTGCAAGTAGTACCAGCATACACCTATACACTCAAGTAGTAAGCACACACACATACACACTCAAGTAGTGCATATGCACATATACCCTCTAGTGAACACATACAAAGTAGTGTATACACACACCTACACACTCAAGTATAATATACACACATACACATACAAGTAGTGCATACACACACACTCAAGTAGGAAGCACACACATATATGCTCAAGTAGTACACACACACACAGTTAAGTAATGCACACACATACATAAGAAAGTAGTACATGCATACACACATACAGGCAGTGATATACACACATACACATGCAAATAGTGCATATAAACACACACAAACACACAAGTAGTGCATATATACACACAACACACATGTTGTACATATACACATAAAAATATGCATGTGCATGGAAGTACTGCATATAAAAACATGTATAAATCTTTAAAACAAAAAGAAAACAAAGATTAAGACAGTTTGTGACAAGAGTCCCTATTTTGGTGGTTCCTTATATGTAATACGTTCTGATATATTATTTGTAATGACTTATATTGATCTTAGAGGCAGCTCTCTGAACAAGTCTGTGAGAGATTATCTATATCAGGTCAACTGAGTTGGGCAGACCCATCCTAAATATGGGCAACACCATCCCCTGGGCTGCAGGAAAAGGAGAAAGTGAGCTGAGCTCCAGCTCCATCACTCCATCATTCCCTGCTCCTGACTACAGATGTGACCAGCTACCTGCACCGCCCTCTCATGCCGCACACCTTCCTGGCCATGAGCAGATGCATGCTTTTGTAGTGCAACCAGATAATACCCTCCTCATAAGTTGCTTCCTGCAAGTGCCCAGCCACAACAATGAGAAAAGTGACTAAGCACATTCTTGTTATAAATAAAGCATTTGCTTTCTTTGTTCTACTTTAATTTAAAAAAAAAAAAAAGTCTCACTATGCAGCCCCGGCTGGAACTCATTGTGTAAACCAGGCTGGCCTTGAACTCACAGAGATTTACCTACCTCTGTTGTGATTAAAGGCAAGTGTTGTGGTTAAAGGCATGCACCACAACACACATTCATCTTAAATTGTTTTATGTAATCATTTCAAATTAACGATTTTTTTACTCAGTAAAATCTGTTTTTACTGTAGAGGTCTTTTGTAAGAATTTGTAAGGCTGGGTGTAAAGGCGTAACGACAGAACTGATTCCTATAAGCTGTCTTCTGACTCTACACGCATGCATGGCATGTGTGCTCATACACACACCCAGACACAAAATCTTTACTAAGATCATATTATTCAATCATTTGTGGAAATGTCCAAACATTATTCTCACTATTTGCTGAATTATTTTCTTTATACTTAGTTATTGAGGGGCACACACATGGCATGGCACACCTATGGAAGTCATTTATTGAGGGGTGCACACACGACGTGGCACGCCTATGGAATTCATTTATTGAGGGGCACACACATGACATGGTATGCCTATGGAATTCATTTATTGAGGGGTGCACACATGGCATGGCATGCCCACAGAAGTCATTTATTGAGGGGTGCACACATGTCATGCCCATGGAAGTCAGATCAGAGGACAACTTCCAGGAGTCAGTTCTCTCCTTCCACTATGTGGGTCCCTCGCTTTTGGCAGCAAGCTCCTTACCTGTTGAGCCATTTGGCTGGCCCCTGCTGAACTATTCAAAAGTAATCACTGATTACTAAACATCTGTTATCCCAATAGCTGTAAACTTGCCTCTGGATCATGGCTTCATGAATCCTCCGATACATGTAGCACTCTACAAACAACCAGGGCGAGAAGAACCAGCGTGGCTCCCCATCGCTTTCATTTAACAGACTCCGCTGATATTCCAGGTACTGATTCCATATGTCAGCATCAACACAATTATCAACCAAAGGGATAATTGGCTTATCTGTCTGTAATTCATTCCGTAATTTAGAAAGAAGAGAGATGGCTTTCTTTTCAGCTTCCACTCCTTCCTGTGAAAGTACAAAAGGACAAAGAGAAAATTTGGCTGTGTTTGTGGGTGCACACATCTGTGCATATTTCTTGAGGGTAGTATATCTTTACAGTGAAGACAGAAAAACACAGTATTTTAAACCTGCATTTCGTCTTTTATATGATCTTATAGACATTACATTTTGCCTTTCATATGATCTTGGCCTTGGTATGACTTAAAATTTCTTATTTTCTAAGATCTGGCCTCTGAGCATTTTTTAGAAGGTTGAGCAGCATACCGCACCGAGAGAAGGGAACCACTACCAGCCCTGTAGCTTCCCACTTGCACACCTCCCTCTGACAGGACTAGAAAGGACCCCTGGACCCCTGGACCTTCCCACTCGCACACCTCCCTCACACCTCCTGCTGACAGGACTAGAAAAGAAACCTGGACTTCCTGAGATACCCCACCCCCACCCTGCAGCTCTCCAGTCTATATCCTTGCTCCCTACTAAGTCCCAGGTCAGTGGCAGATGCCTTGACCCTGTGACCCATCAGAGAGGAGACACAAGACGGGATCACAATACAGTGCCATAACTCTACACCAGCAAGATGCATGTCCTATGGAAATCAAGACAGCTGAAGCAGGCACTCCCCTTAATTCCAGCACTTGTGAGGCTGAAGCACAAGGACCAAGACCAAGCATGGTTGTATCGAGAGTTTGAGGCCAGCCTGGGTTACATAGAGGAAAAATCATCAAGCTTGACCGAGGGTTTCTATAGTATCATTATTAAAAAGCCCCACTCTTCAATTCCATCTCCCTGCCAGCCCATCCTCACTCCCCTCCTCTCTCTGCTCAGAATGGAAGCCAGTACTTCATACATGCTTGGCAGGCACTCAACCACTACACTACACCCACAACCAGATCTTTTTTGTTTTATCAAGTAGGATCTGTTCCTCATGATTAAGGAGCAAGTGGTCCTCATCAGTGAGTCATCTCTCCGGCTCATCCTCCCTTACTAAAGAGGAACTTGCCACCTGCAAGTCTCTAAGGTCGCTAATTTGAACTGATTAGTTAAGGACAAGTTTATTGAGATTCTATTAGTTTGCTTGGGGACAGGGTCTCATTGTGTAGCTCTGGCTGAACTGAAATTCATCATGTGGCCAGCCTAGCTTTGAACTCACAGAGATCAACCTGCCTCTGCCTTCCAATCACTGGGATTAAAAATATGCACCACCAAACCTGGGCCCCAGCTGAGATTTGTATAAGACTATAAGCATTATTGCTGTGGAGTATTTTTTACACTGTGTGAAAATATGTCATTATGATTGGTTTAATAAAAAGCTAAATGGCCAATAGCAAGGCAGGATTTTTCAGGACAGAGAGAACACTAAGAAGAAAGGAGACGAGCAGAGTAAAGATAATAAAGCCACAAGACAGACAGTAAATTAATAAAAACAAGGCAAGTTAAGTTGTAAGAGCTAGTTAGGAACAAGTCTAAGCCACTGGCCGAGCTTTCACAGTAGGAAGTCTCGGTGTGGTTATTTGTGAGCTGGCGGATGGGACGGAAAAAGTCCAACCACATCTCCTCCCTTGCTATTGGCCGGTCAGTTTTTTTATTAGACCAATCAGGGACCTTAGGCAGGCAAGGTAAAATAGCAACACATTATTACATAGTTAAAGATTCTGCAACATAAACAACTGCAACACATCTTTACATAGTTAAGCAAATATTCCACAACATAAAAAAATACAACATATCTTTGTATAATTAAACAACAACACATCTTTGCATAAACAAATATCCTGCAACATCAATTCCTGTTTCTTTTCTTGTTTCACTCCAGTTCAAACATTTTTCTGAGTCCTGTGTGTACCAGACACTGTGTTCAGAGTCAGAGACAGATGGCCTGGTGCCATCCCCAAGAGACTCGACATCTACCCAACCAGGTAGTCTAAGAGTGGGCTTTTGAGAACCAAATGGGAACAGAACTCCCTCGAGAACATAGCATTGCTCATAGAGCCAAAGAAGAGTCTAAAAGTATGGGCGTCCTGAAGAGGTGACAGGAAGGCCACCAGGAGCTAACTCTACTCACGCAGTGCTTTAAGACTGTGCTGTCCCCCGCACAGTGAAATGGAACAGGGTTACATCAACAACAGACCATGCTTTCTCATGCTTAACCAGAATGGCCACCTCTCATAATGAGCACATAAGGCAAAGGCTTAACCAGAATGGCCACCTCTCACAATGAGCACATAAGGCAAAGACCTATGGTAATTTGTGCTAAGTAAAGAAGTCAATATTTAAGCAAAGTACTTAAATTTGGTTCATTTATGCTTAAGTAAATATGTACACCCACCAAAATGAGGTTGCATGTATAGGATAAAACACTGGGAACATGATGTGGGATTCCCCGCTGTATGCTATGAATATGTTTTATTACCATTGGTTAATAAAGCTGTTTCAGCCAATGGCTTAGCAGAGTAAAGCCAGGTAGAAAATCTGAACAGAGATAGAGAGAGAGAGTAGGAGGAGTCAGGGAGACACCTTGTAGCTGTTGAAGGAGAAAGATGTTCCAGAACCTTGTCAGTAAGCCACAGCCTTGTGATGATACACTAATTAACGGAGATGGGTTGATTTGAGATGTAAGAGTTAGTTAAAAAGAAGTGTGAGCTAATAGACCAAGCAGTGTTGTAATTAATATGATTCCTGTGTAATTATTCAGGTCTGGGCAGCCAGAAATGAACAAGCAGTCTCCATTTACAAAATTCATCTACTCAAATATCAGTGTTCAAGATGAGCTGGATGTCAGCAATAAGGAATAACAGGCAGAGGGGTATGGTGGTATAAGCCTCTAGCCCTATCCAAGAAACAGAGGCAGAAGAATCCAAGTTCAAGGCCAGCCTAATTAGTCTCAAGAAGAGAGGGGGGTTGGGGGAAGAAAAGATGATCCTGTAGTATACCAGAATTTATATGGAAAAAATACAACAATGGGGCCGGAGAGGAGGCTCAGATGTTAAGGGCACTCACTGCTGCTACTGAGCACCTGGGTGTGGTTCCATCACCCACATGGAACCATCTGTAACATCATTTCCTGGGTGGGGATGTGATACCCTCTTCTAACCTTCATGACCATAGCATGTATGTGGTACACAAACATCCAAGAGACCAAGCACCCATACACATAACATAGATGATTTTTTAAAAAGAAACAATTCTACATACTCAAAATACCTGTGTGAAGCTTTGCTCCATTTCAACTCAGCCAATAAAAAAAGAGAGAAAGAAAGATATCACTAACCACTGCTCCACACGTTCAAGAAATGCACAGCCCTGGCATGCAGCTCAGCTGGTATAGTCCTTGCCTAGCATGCAGAGGTCCTGGGTGAAAAGGAGGGGAGGGGCCCCAAATTCATTCTCAATAGTGTTTAATCTGTACGTGGTGGCCCACACCTGTAATCCAAACATTCAAGACCTTTAGCAAACTCAAAAGCTGTCTCAAAAGAGACAGATGGGAAGGAAGGAAAAGAAGCTGGAGCTGGTGTAGTCTATGCAGCCGTCTACAGCACACTGAGCAATCTGAAGATTACTGGAGCCATAGGTTCAAAGGCTTTGATTGACAATAACGTAATTATTTAGGCTTTTTCCTCACCCGTTGAATGAACAGGCAAGGCGGCTTTTAAAGTCTTATTCTACTCCAATCAGCAAATCTTTTAATCACACTGAGCAACAATCAATCATAATTCACACCACCCTCCACTGTGAGTTTTGCACTTGATCAAGATCTCAGGTTAGAAAAGCAAAGTCCTGTAACACAGCTGGGTCTGAAACCTAAAACGGCTTGTTGGGGTATCTATCCCGCCCGGCACCCCAACAAGTCGGCAGACCCCAAAGAAAACCAATCACACAGAGATCTCTATAAGTTATAAAGCTGATTGGCCCATTAGGTCAGGCTTCTTGTTAACTCTTATAACTTATGTTACCCCATTATCCTTATCTACGTTAGCACATGACTCCGTACCTTTCTCAGCTGGGCAGGGTACATGCTGTCTCTTCGGTGGTCTGCGCAGGAGTGGCTGAGGAACCTCCCTGCTTCCCAGAATTTTCCTGTTCTCATTGCATCACCTCTACTTCCTGTCTGGTTTTCCCACCTATACTGCCTGCCTGGCCAATCAGCGTTTTATTAAAATATGATTGACAGAATACAGACAATTCTCCCGCACCACCAGCTTCTCTTCAGAGAAGTCAGCAATTCATTTACAACAGAAAACAAGACGAGGAGTCCATAACGTTTCATGAGACTAAACAGTAAGCACACAGCACATTTAACCCAGAGGCTGCTGCCCCACCTCAACACACAGAAAAGCAGGTATGTATGTGCCCAGATAACAATGTTTACATGTGAGCTGCGACCTTCCACGAATACTCTAATTCTCATGAAGTAACACAAAACTAAAGCTGAGACATAATTCTTACCTCTCCATGTTTTTCAAAAAATTCACTTTTATGTCGATGCAATGTATCAATAGCCTTGGTTAGGATCTGCGGTGTTCTGTCCTTAATTGTAAGATATGCAAATGACCTAGAAGAGAGAGTCACATATGACACTAGCATCGGAAAGTCACACATGCATCTTTAACACTAGAAGACATGCCCAAGTTTCTGGAACACCTCATTTGGATTCAAATTCCTTTGTATACAACTATTAAAGGCAAACCAGTTTTATCGGCTTTATGAAGATACGGGTCTGCGAACGTTCTCAGCTGGCAGAGCGTTCGTCTTGCAGGAGTGTATGAATGAAGCCCTAGCACAGGTAAAACACAGTGGCGCCCACTGTGATCCTAGAGGCAGGAGGATTGATAGTTTAAGGACATGAAATCCCATTCTTATCACTTTTAGTTGTGGGGAGGGGGTATACGCACGTGCCTGCGGGGCCAGGGGTCTAGAGCAGGAATTATAGTTAGCTGGGTTCTGGGAACCAGACCTGGGTCCGTGCAAGAGCAGGACTTGCTCTTGATGGCTGAGCCCTCTGCCTGGCTCCTGAAGCACTAACTGTTTAACACAGGGTACAGGGCTGAGCTGGTCAGTTTCTCTGCCCAAATCATCTCTGTTGAATTAAATCAATTTTATTTTCTGCAAACTCAAGCGCCTTATTCTGGTTTTTTAAACTATTGCGCATAAGCATTTCTTCAGAAGGCTTCCTTAGACTCTGAGTCTCCGGGAAGCTCTGAACCTGCTTCCTAGGACTAGAACTGCATGTTTAGCCATCAGTACTACTGTCAAGGAGATGGGGAGAGGGACCTGATCTCCACGTGGACTTTCTAACGCAGCAGTAACAGAAAGCGGCAGCCCTTTCTGGAGAAGCCTGGAAAGCCTTACTTCTCTATCACCCTCCCCACCACCACCACCACCATGCCAAGTACGTAGAAGAAAACTAAATATGAGACTTGTAGGCTTCCACTAGTGAACAACAAATAAAAAGTATTTATTTTGGGGACCAGCGAGATGGCACTAGGTAAATCTGGACGCCTGAGTTCTAAATTCCTCGAACGTCTATGAAGGTTAAAGGAAAATGAAAAACAACGAACTCCACGGGGCTGCTCTCTAACCGCCACTGAGAATAACGGTGCGCTCACACATATATACACACCCGGACATACACACGGATTTAAAGCATTTTTAAATTTTGTGAGAGTATTAGTTTGACCCAAACCAGAAGTACACGAGTCCTAAATTTTAGCCCCGACAGGGCTATTCCTCCTCGCTGGTTTATTTTGAGACAGGCTTTCCCTAATGTATCCCCGGTGGTCTTGAACTCATTACTAGAGCGAGCTGGCCTCAACTTGCAGCAATCCTCCTGCCTCAGGTTCCGTAGCGCTGGCAATACGCAACAGCACGGACGAAACTACACGGCAGGTCCTGAGGCAGGCGAGTGCGGCGTGCCGGCTCCTTCCCAGCCAACGCGGGACTCGAACTCTCAGCCTCACAGGGTTGGGCGCCCCTAACCGTCCACAGCTTCCCCCCGCCACAACCCGGCTTCAACTCAGAAGTGCGCAAGAGAAAAAGCGAGACGCACCCCACTTCCTGAGCAGAGAGAAACGCCGGGGACTCGGCCATGGCTGGCGACACGCGCCGCACGCCGGCGTCGCTCCGGGTTCAACCGCCGCCGCCGCCGGGCCCAGAAAGAGAAAGCTGGGGCTTTAAGAAAAAAAAAAGAGAGAGAAAAAATGCACTTTTGAATTCAAAAACTTTATTTGGTGGTTAGGCCAGGGACAGAGCACGGGACACAAGAGCCTTCCGGCTACGCGACCGGAAGCCCGAAACAACCGGAGGCGCCTGTCCGCGCAGCGGTAAAAGGGAGCACGGGGACGTCACGTGGTCGGACGGTCACGTGTCCCGGTCGCCCGGCCTGGGGCTCGCAGTGCGCCTGCGCCACAGCGGGGCGGGGCGGAGCGTGTTTCCGCAAAGGTTCCTGCGGCGGGAGCGTGCGAGCGGTGTCTGCAGTCCTCCTCACCGCGTACAGGTCAGTGCTTCGCGCCTCCTCGGCCCTAGGGCCTGGCGAGAAGGTGTGGGCTTCGGCCAGGGCCGCAGGAGGTAGCCGGGAGGCGAAGCACCTAGGACAGAACACTCCTGACTCCTCGTCGGGATCAGGGCTTAGTGGTAGCCGCCAAGATGCATGAAATCACCCTTGAGTTTAGGAATTGGAAGATGTGCTCCCAAAGGTCAGCACTGTTTGTCCATGGGATCGAACCGGGACGCAATCGCCTTCTTAATTGATGGTATCGTGAATCTCATACATGTATACAATTACTTTGATCATGTCCACCACCACTCCCAGTCTTCCCCCACGAACTCCTAACCTACGCCTCTTCTGTGTCCCCCTCTCAACTTAATGGAAAAATATAAAACGCTGAGCCCAATTAGTGCTGTCCTTAGGCATACACGGGCATATTGTTCTTGAAGATAAATGCCCAATAACGGTAGCTGCCTTGTGTTTGATTTTAAAAATTTAGTTGACACCTAATGCCCTAGGACACTACTATCGCTGAACACAAGGGTACAAACACAGACACTTATTTTGAGGAGAGAGAGACAGAAATCGCCTTTATTGCTTTTCGGATATCACTGTCGTTATCTAATTTGCAATATATTGATTTGCCACATCTGCTGTTTGCCATTCCCAGTAAAGCGACCTTTGCCCGTTTTCAGCTGGATTAGGAGATAGCATAATGCCTGGGACATGGTAGGGGCAGAGTCCATAACCGTTGTATGAGTTAATAAAAATACAAGGTGTGTAGGTGATGTTAAATGCGATGAGAATGTAGAAAATGGAGAAAGAATGGGTGGGCATTAGTTCTGTGGACCTGAAGAAAAGAGCTGAAGGAGGCAAGGGAGGGAGCCTGGCAAATCCTTGGGAGGAGAGCATGAGGACGGGTAAGTACTAAGACCCGGAAATGCACAGGGAGCCTAGAACAGAGCAAACAAAGGCAAGAACTGTCGGGAACACTACAGTGATGCAGAAGGCTGGGAACATACAAGCTCGGCAGGCCGTCTAAGGGGCTTTGGCTTTTAGTGTAAATGTAAAGCAATCTTCAGATTCGATACTGGAAAAAGACACGGTTCTAGTTAAGGTCTCAGGATTTTGCTAGAGTCCACTGTGAATAATCTACAAGAGGCTGAGAAGGGTAGCCAGAGGCCCAGTGTGCAGCAGCCTTTCTTGTGAAAAGTTGAGTGAAGGGGAGACAGCTTAAGGGAGCGGCTTGCCACTCCGTTGCTGTCCATTATAGCGGATTGGGCATGCTGGCAGGAGTTGGTCACCTTCCTTGCACGGCTAGAAGGCAGGGTGATCAAAGCTGGCACCATACTCTCTGCTGTGCCCATGCATAGTGCCTTCCACACTTCAGGTGGGTCTCCTCGCCTCAGATAAACTCCTCTACAAAGTCGGTCACAGACACAGTCAAGGGTGTCTCCATGGTGATTCTAAATCTAGTCATGTACGGGTTAGCCATCATAACAGGTAAATAGCTATTATAATAATCAGTGGGAAAGACAGGTAGGAGAATTCGTGCAGAGTACTGATCAGAAAAGGCCTGCAGGATTTACTGATAGATTGAATGTGGAGACTGAAGAGAAAGTTCAAGGGAATTCCAGGTTTAGGGCTACGATTGGCACGCGGATGGGGAAAGGTGCAGTTCGGGTGGTTTTGTGGAAGAGATGGGATGCTCAGTGTTGAGCATGTAACGTTGTTGATGCTTAGAGTCATCTAGAGGTAAATGTGCTACTCCTCAGTGACGGTGTATAAAGCCATGTATCAAGTCATGGCAGTGGCCAAGGACACCAAGAGACTGACTAGGAAGAGAGGTGACTCAGAGTCCTGGTGTACCTCATTCTTGAATGAATGTGTAACTAGCAAAAGAGGCCGGAAGACGAAAACAGCCAATGTGATATTCTAGACGCCAAAGAAAAAGGGGTGGGGAGCAAGTTCCAGGGGATCTGATGCCCTCTTCTTTTTTTTTTTTCCTACTGATTTTTATTGAGCTCTACATTTTTCTCTGCTCCCCTCCTTTCCTCTTCCCTCCCCTTCAACCCTCTCCCATGGTCTGCATGCTCCCAGTTTACTCAGGAGATCTTGTCTTTTTCTACTTCCCATGTAGATTAAATCCTTGTGTGTCTCTCTTAGGTTCCTCATTGTTGTCTAGGTTCTCTGGGGATTATGAATTACAGATTGGTTTTCTTTGCTTTATGTCTAAAAGTCACTTATCAGTCAGTACATGTGATAATTGTCTTTCTGGGCCTAGGTTACCTCACTAATTATGATGTTTTCTAGATCCATCCATTTTCCTGCAAAATTCAAGATGTCGTTATTTTTTTCTGCTGTGTAGTACTCCATTGTGTAAATGTACCACATTTTCTTTATCCATTCTTCTGTCAAGGGGCATTTAGGTTATTTCCAGTTTCTGGCTATGACAAACAATGCTGCTATGAACATAGTTGAGCACATGTCCTTGTGGTACAATTGAGCATCCTTTGGATATATACCCAAAAGTGGTATTACTGGGTCTTGAGGTAGGTTGTTTGCTAATTTTCTGAGAAATCGCAATACTGATATCCAAAGGGATGATGCCCTCTTCTGACGTTCACGGGCACCAGGCATGCACATAATATACAGATACGTGCAGGCAAACACCGTTACCCATAAAATAACAAAAATTGTAGAAGAGGGTGGATTGACCAATGGGCACAACAGCAATGGGTTGCATGCTGATCGCTGAGGGCTCATCTTGTAGAATTGCTGGTCCTATTTTATTAGTGAAAGAGGAAGCAAGGTCATCATTGAGAGTGAGAAACAAGGGGGAGATGTGAAGATCCGAGGAGAGGGGAGTCCGCAGAAAATAGCAGGAATAGGGTCCTGAGCAGCATAGAAGACCCACCAGAAGAGAGTGGCCCTGGCTGGAGAGTGAGATGGGAAATGGTTGGTTGGCTGCCTCGTCACAGTGAGCTGCAAGAGCGTAGCCACAATTCAGTGTGGGTGCTGGAGTTCTCTTAGGACTGGGGTTAGGTGGCTATGGAAAGGGAGGCATGCAGAAGTTACAGGGAATGGAAGGGTTATAAGAGTGGACCTGAAGGTGAAGGACGTGGAAGCGGGGGAGGAAAGACTGAAAGTTGTAGGTCCAGCCGAGGTGGGAGAATTGTTGGCTCTGGGTGGTGGAAGGAATGGACAGGAAAGATAGGAGACAGTGTATGGGGAGTAACGGGTGTAAATCAGAAACCTGGGCTGTAGTTAGAGGACACGCCAGGGAGATCTTAAGGTTTCTAGACCATGCATTGATAAAAGAAAAAAGTGGGTAAATTAGCTTTAATAACATAATCTCCTTTACAGGTAACTAAGATAGTGGTACGAGTCTGGTCTTTGCAATAAGGAAAGCCTGGCTGGCTTTGCTTTCATTAGAGATGGAGAGAGTTCACAGACACGAGCCACAGCATGTGGAGGTCAGTCGGAGGGCGACCCACAGGAGCCAATTCTCTTTACCCTGTGGTTTGGGGTGTTGAACGTGGGCCGTCAGGCTTCCCAGCAGGCATGTTTACTGCTGAGCCATCTCTTTAGCCTCTGGACTTCAGTTCCCCCCTCTGGGAAATGTCTCCTGAGTGGTTGTGAGGTAGAACAGTGTGTAGCGTGTGGAAGTGCTGGAATGTCATATCCGAGTTTTCCTTGGCTCTTCCTTCACATCATTACTGAAGACATGTTTCTGAATCACACACCTGACCACACAATTCCCTTATTTCAAACCCTGGCTTCCCCTGCAGCTGTGCAGCCTGTAGGATCATTTAACGTGTCTTGTAGTGTCCGGCCACTTTCTTTCCTCCCCTGCAGCTCACCTCTCAGCTGAGGTTGTTTGTTCTTGTCCTGTTTATTATATAAAGAATACTGTATACCTGACCTGTTTGCTTTACTGATCTCTGCCCTTTCATAAACCATTGTAAATGTCACCTCTGAGTATATCACACTCCACACCCCAGGTCCTCCCTTGTCAAGACCACGTGCCCTTTGTACGTCGTATCCTGTCTCCGTGGCTGGACTGAATTATAAAGTCTCTGATCGATGCTTGTATCTTTTATTGTTCTTTTAAAAAAGAATATGATGATGATGGGATGCCCCGGGCGGCTCGCAAAGCAGCTGCTAGTCCGACAAGGATGACCCTGCAAGATCTCCAGGGTGGCAGCGCCATGCGGCGGGGAGAGTCGGGCAGGCGGTTACGGCGGATAAAAGGCTCACAGGACATAGTATTATTTAAAGAAGAGGGAGACATTTATTGCTTAAAGAAGAGGAAAACGGAGAGACATAAGAGAAACAGAGAAAACAGAGACACATGTACACACGACACGAGACAAACACAAGAGAGAGAGAAAGATGGCGGCGAGGGAGGTCCGAAGTGGCTGGGGTGGGCGTGGTTAGTTGTTAAAGTGACAGCAAAAGAATAACATCTTTGGCACCTAATTTTTAAGAATTGTTATCGTCGCTTACTGTAGGTTTGCTTTTTAAAAACATGCTATTTTATATTGTAAGGCGGGGGATCACACGTAACAGCCCATTTCCTTTGGGCTGTGTGTGTGCTTGCCTGTCTGATATGCCTGATACCAGTCCTTATGCCCAACCCCAAACTGAATAGCACCTTCCCCCTTAAAAGATGGAAGCCATCTT